GCCATAACTGGAGTTGCATTCAGCACTCGACTGATGGCGGTCTCCCCCACAGCAAGTGAAGCAGCCTTCTTGCTCTTCCCCAGACTCTGCACCTCACCTCCATCAACTTCTCGTTTTGCTTTCTCCTCGTCGGAGAGCACTGGATAGACATCGATTCTTGCGGATCTCTTCGCCGCGCATTAGGAACACATTAAGAACGCCTGCAGTAGCCACGGCTGCGAAAGGCACTAAACGCCCTAGTATTAATTTTGTATTGGGTGCTACCCTTTTTAACCGTGGGACGACCGCATTTAGGCCTAGAGCGACGGAACAGGAGGCGGATACTGCCATAAGATATGATTTTGCAATGGTAGAATAAGATAGCGGAGTCGACTTGTTTGCGTTGGCGTTATTGATAGCGACGTTTAGAGATTGATTGGCAATTTGCCAGAGAACAGTTCCCCTTGTCTGTGTGTTTATAAGTTAGCGCAATGGTTAGAGACAAAGTGGAAGAGCTGACCAGGAGAAGAAAACATACCCCAAGGCCAGGTGTGAGCATTCCCGCAGTTACAATCAGATTTGAAAGGACGAAACATGACATGCGAAAGGGGAGAACGACAGGTTCGCCGGTGTCTAGATAGAGATAATTGTTATTAAATCCAAAGCTTCCAAAGTTCACCTTTGCCGGCACAAGTTTCTAAGACAGGGGATTTTGCCTGTATACCTGGGTGTATGGTCGAATCGACAATTTGCTTGGCGTGCCAGAGTTCAGGGGTCATGGACGGGACGTGGCCATTTTTATACAATGCAATTAGGCTTTTAGCCTTTTCCAGACCAGCCCGAGAGACAAACAACGTCCTAGATAACAATATAGGATCAGGGACCGATTACCCAGTGCCCATATTTTTTCTTTTTTTTCTTTCCTTTTTATTTTTTTTTTAAAAAAAAGGGGGGGAGGGGGGGGGGAAGAAATAAAAGAAAGCCAAAGCTTTTACCTGGGATCCGAAATTTCTGCCGCCTGCTTAACTCTACCCCAGTACGTATTGAGATCGTGCCTGGATGCAGGGAGGTCTCGATTACCAGGGATTGAAGCGGACATGGTGTGGAGTAAGGACAAGGGAGGGACTTGATCAAGACACTGCGGAAAAAGGGAAGGGAAAACGTATCTTCGAGACCAAAAAAGACGCCAAATAACAAGAGACAAGAAAATCAAGGCGAAAAAAAGTGAGAAGTGAATGAAATAAATGACAGGTTTCCAAGGTTGCTGCAGAAAAAAGAATGATACTGCGCTGCTGCGATCACCGACTGTTCTGATATAAAAGTCTTGATAGTTATGTTGAGTACTTATGGCATGGAAGTGTTTTGTGTCAGGCCTATCCGCCTTCTTACGTAATCCGCACTGTATATAACTTCCGCGTAGCTAGCGATCGCTTCATAATCAATCAAGCAATCTATCCTTCACATTTTGTTGGGGCATCGGAGGCGGTGAAGATTTATTGCCAGAAGTGGCAACGGGCGGGCCAAGTTGAATCTTATCTGATTGATAACGAAGAGAGTTAGTTGTAACGACTTAAACTAATGTAATCAATCACCTAGTGAGACAGATCATCTACTGAGAAAGGTCTCCACTATCCAATATCTTTCTAATTGAATATCACCACAACTAGATAGTAAAACCAGATAATTGCATTATAAATTATTCCCTGTATTCTGGGAGCATGTATGAATAGTATGTTCTATAACATCACATCCACTGCATTGTGGTGCTGCTTGCTTTTGTGATTGCTTATCAGACTACTTTATTATCTCTCTTTCCTTTGCAATGCCTCTTTGTATATGATTCACCCTTTCTTGAACAGTCAAGCCTTCTCCCTAGCTTATGTATGTATGACATCTTTCTCACTTTTTCTTTTACTTTGCATTTACAGTCTTCAGCTCTTTGTTTTTTCTTGTCAAAATAAAAGCATTATGCATAGCAATCTGATATCTCTTGAATAGCTGTTCCAGAGCTTGATTGATTGGACTGAGTGAACTCTGTGTATGATGCTTGAGATATTTTTTAATCTTCTCACTCTGAAGCTTCAGTTGTTATATATTATTAGATGTGGCAGTGGCTCAGAAGGCCTGAGAGCTATGTGAGATCTTTGAAGAGATTGATGTATGTATCTAAGTATTGAGCTGAAAAAAAACCTGCTTTGAATTATACAGAGCTATTTCTGTAGCTTTAAATACACTCTGAATATTCTTTTCACTCAAAGCTGCTGTATGAACTGAAGAATAGATAGTTAAAAACTCATTCTTATCAATATGATTGATGTCAAGTCTCATTTTCTTCTCAATCTTTTTTCTGTATACTTGCTTTAATGAGAAAAAACAAGCAATATCTAAAGACTGTAAGAGATAAAATAAATAAGCTGATATATAAAAAAAAAATACTCAAGTTTTGAATGTAAAACTGATCAAACTCAGAATTATTATAATTATCATATTCATCAAGAATCAAGAGTTAATATTGATTAATTATACAGACTTGAGTATGTTTATTGAACATCTCTTTAAGCTAGATCAAACTTAGCTCATCAGTTGTTCATTCATTTTCACTGATTTCAATTCTTCAGTTGTATGATAGCTCATTCTCAAATCAAGAAGTCTAATATAACTTCTTAAAAATGATCATTAAAGATAATGATCAGTCTGTTAAATTGACTCTCTCAATAATGATGATTTATTTTATATTTTTAGACTGTACAAGCTTTGAACAGAGAGTCTTCTCTGACTCAGTAATTATTTTGACTATTTCAATAATTTTTATCTAAAACTCAATTTTATCAAAGTTGTATATATTCTTCTATACAATGTTATATTTTTGAATAGTATTCTGTACAAGTTTGAATTATTCTTGAATAATCTTAAAATCTTCATATAGGACTTGTTGATGATTATACAATCAGAAAAATTAGATTTTTAACTTAGAATGATAATCAACGAATCATTTAATTCAGCTTTCATCAACAGTTTTTAAGTTAAAAGAGTTGTTTCAATTGACAAAAAGAAGATTAGCTGTTTTTCATACAGTGTTTACTTAGAGAGGCTGATCACATTCATTCATAAAGATTATTTACTAAATAAAAGATAATTTCTCAATAAAGATCAGTTTTTGATTTCTTAACTGAGAGTTCTCTCACATTGTATAGCTGTGAAGTTGATGATAAAGAATAAAATGAGAGATGTTGTACAATCTGACAGCAGCTCTAGAACTAGAAATTTGATCTTTTTTAACTACTTCAAGTGCTAGAGTAAGTCTTTCTTTCTTGTATAAAGAATTATTATCTTTAATTGCTGATATTTTAATATTTGATCAATTAAGTAGTTAAATATATTACATAGTGAAGATCTGTCTCAGTAGATGATCTGTCTTACTAGGTAATTGATTACATTAACTAGTTAGTTAGTTAACTAATAACTAGCTAACTAACTTACTTTTAAAGCTGAGTTAACTAGTTATAAAGTTTTGTATACTCTGTAAAGAGATTCTTTTTCAATTTTCATACTCTTTGAATCGAAATTGTGAGCTAATAATGAAAATTATTGTTGAATATTTACTTTTTAAAGAAAAGCATGTTTTTAACAATCAACTCTTTAAATCTTATTTGAATAGTATGAAAATTGAGAGACTGATCAATTTCAGTAAGAACTTTCAAATGAAATTATTCTTGAATTAAAATTTCAAAAATTAACTTAGTTTTAAAAAAGATATGTTATTTATAAATAATTTTGAGAAAACTTTTTAAAACTTTAACTTGTCTTTTAAAGTAAGTGAATTTGATATTAATACTGAAAAAATAATAAAGATTTTAAATATTATCTTTTTAAAGTTTTTTTAATAATTTGATAAAATTTATCTTTATAAAATATCTTTAAATTTTATATCTTGATTATTTTCACATTTAAAAAAATAATTTTTTTAAACATTTTCAATTGTAAACTTCTACTTCAAATTGATATTATTTTTTACATTAATTATCAAATTGATATATTATTCAAATGATATACTGATTGAAATAATAAATTTAATTATTCATTTTTATCTTCAAAATATAATAGTAAATTAAAAAATCAAAAATAATATATGAAGATTATATTATAAAGCTTAATATTTTAATAATTTAACGAAAATAATAAAGTTTTTAAAACTCTTCAAATATTATATACAATTAAAATAGATGTGAGTATGATTCTTCTTTTATTAAACAATAGAAAATAATATATATAAGAGTATTCAAATTTAAAATTTTAAAAATAAATAATTATATATAACTTATTACTTCAGATTCTATAATTTATTTCTATATTAAATGAACTTATTATAAGAACACTTGATATGGCTATATTATATATTAAAAGAAAGTGTAAAAAGCATCACAACTAATATTATAAGAGAGTAGAAATGTAGAGACTGCAAGTACTATGAAAAAAAGAGAATAGCAATGAATGAAAACATGAATATAGAATTGAATAATAGTTAATCATTTAATCTTTTAAAGAAATTTGAAAATTCAAAGTATTTATATAGTTATATGAATAAGTAGTAACAGATTTTATCTCTAATCTTTCATGAAATGAAGAATTGATGACATAGTGCTCTTCTATGAAATGAGAGATTAGTGATATAATGAGAAGTGCTGATCCTAAGTGCTGATTCTTGAGAAGTGTTGATTCTAAGGCACTAATTCTTAAGTGTCGATTCTTCATGAGGTGCTTTAGTAAGCAGTGTGAGGACAAGAAGCTAGTGTAAGAGATTTTGACATCACAAGTTGAGCATTTGAATATATTTTACTTTCTTAATCTAATCATTTAAAATCATAGTAAAGCATCATACATTTTGACAGCAGTTATAATATATGAAATTTGACCTGTTTTATATATCTTAACGGCTAAAAGAAGCCATCTTTCTTGATTAGAAGCTTGATCTTTTAATTTTGTCATACTTATTGATTTGGTGAAATAAATGTATTTGAATGGAGGTTACAGGAACGTGATCCATTCCGTAAGCCATGTCATGGCTCAAACTAGAATAAGATAAACAAGACAAAAGCTTCAATCCATCTATCTAACTAGGCAGCTGCGACGAGAATACTAAACTGGGGATTATGAACGAGCAGCCGAATTCATATAGGAGGTGATTGGGGATTGGAACGGATCAATAGCGGAGCGCCGAATATGGTTGAGTTTAGAGCGGATCAACCTTAATCCATATTACCAGCAACTGCGCCGTAACAAGCCACGCCGAAGGTTTGCCCCGCTGAATTTTAAACCAAGTTACTCCGTAACTAATAACTAACTAATAACTGGTTAATCTGATTGGCCACAATAAGTATAACTGACTAAATAGCTGCTACATCAACATATCTTAGAGACAACCTGTGCATCCCAGTTAAACAACAATATTCCTCACTACTGTAATACTACACCAGAACCCAAAAAGAGCACCCACACCTCTGACCCCGCAGAGTACCTACAAAGACAGACTCATCATTCACGAGTAGTCCCCTTTTCTTTCTACTCCTACTGCTCACAATGTCGCGCCATGCCAGGGTGGAAGAGGTCTCGGATTCCGATCCAGATGACATGGATCCCGCCGACTTCAGTCCCACCAATTTCGCTGCTGAAAATTCCATTATCACACCCGCCAACACTCCCGCTTCATACACCTCGAGACCGACTCCACGACCCCAGACACAAGCCCAGACACACGGCCGCCCTCCCCAATCCAACCTTATTCAACCAACCAATAGAGATGTTCCGCGCAACTACCAATGTCTGTATCCCGTGTATTTCGACAAAACCAGGTCACGGGCAGAGGGGAGGAAAGTCAACAAGAGCCTGGCTGTAGAGAATCCGCTGGCAAGAGATATCATGGATGCCGTCCAGGTGTTGGGCCTGCAGGTTGGGCTGGAGCCGGACAAGTTACACCCCAAAGATTGGGCAAACCCGGGCCGAGTGAGGGTGTTGTTGAAAATGGAAGACGGCACTCCACTAACCAATGCTGTGAAAAACAGTATGTTTTGTGTTTTCTTTTTCCTATTCAACACATTCTTTCTATATTAGTGTTTTTATTTTATTTTATTTTATTTATTTTTATTTATATTTTCATTTTTTTCTCTCTCTCTCTCTCTCTCCCTCCCTCCCTCTCCCTCCCTCTTTCAATGCAATTACTCAGCTAATCCGCTTTGCCGCTTTGATCCCTCCATAGAGCACCATCTATATATTAAAGTCGCACAGTACCTCCACGCCCACCCAATCACTGAAGAATCACCTTTCCGCCTCCGTATCCGCGGGCTCTCTGTCCCGGAAAAACCGATACCGCCGCCTGTTGCACCTCGGGGCTGGAAAATCGGAACTATCCTACCTTTTCACTCCCCAGCACTCACAGGTGGTGGCGTGAGCGATAATCCTTTCAAAGAAGCAATGTTGGAAATGCAACAACAAGGATTAGCAGGAGACATGCCTGGGCTCACCAGCGGTCCAGAACCGAAACCGAAAATGAAAAAGGAGAAGAGGAAGGGGAAGGCGTAAGATGTTGCATCAGTCAAGACATTATTGCTACTCCTTATGTGGGGACAGGTTGGTGGGAAGTGGAAGAGCCATTGAGTTACTCGATATTAAGGATGGATGGCGTTTTGTAAATAGCTGGAGCTAGAGGTGTTTTACTGGCTCGGAGCTTGGATACAGTCGACTCATCATCATGCTCTTGACATCCTCATCCCCTGACTCGAAAGCTGCATTCCTCTATGATATCATAGCCTGTATATTGTCATATTATCTTGACCCCTCCCCCTCCGAACAGGTGTACACTCTTCTCCGCAGTTCTATGATGGTCTCCGCACCAACCATCCCGTCTTTAAGAGTACGTACCACTAGGGAAAATGAATCACTTTTGTTCAAAACAGCAGCCATCTCAACAGCCACAAGCTGTGCGATGGCCCAGAACACGACGACGACGTGTCCTTGCCAGCGTTCTTGTGCAACTGCACATCCTAGAGTGTGTATGTCCGTCACTCCAGTACATGCAAATATCGATCCCCCACCCGCATATTATCATACCTTGTTATAGCAAATAGCTAGTAAATAGACCATAGTATACACAACATAACTGCGCAGAACATCATATATAACCAAAACAAAATATTCACAATGTTTAATATGTTTTTATGAGGCAATTCCTTAGGTCTATGGAGACTTTATTCGTCCCGCGGTTCCTCCCAGAGTTAGTTACCAATATCAAAAGCCGACAAAAAAAAAGAAAAGAAAAAAAGAAAAAAAAAATAGAAAGAAAAAGAAGGTAAAAAAAAAGAAAAAAAGAAAAAAGTTGTTTCGGAGTAGTTGACTAGTTAAAATGGACAGCTCGATGTTTCACCAACCGCTGCCCCTAGACATCCCACCTCTCATAATCCGCAACCCACACCTCATGCCAACTATTACATCACCCTATCTCGCTCTTCTTCCTACAGTTGCATGTAACCCTAGGTACAAGTCCCCCTGTCCTGTGCCGCTATCTAGACGGGTTGCCTGATAATCAACCCCCCCCGGCCTCTTCCGATAGCCGAATATCCTGCACCGCCACTCCCTCCTGGGGCTGAGCGGGGCTGAGTATGGCTTATCACCAACTCGCGGAGCCAAAACGGGAGCCGGACGTCGAAGATGATTTCGACAGTGGACGCTTCACCGAGGTGACTATCCCTGCAGATAGATACTCCTCTCCCGCGCCCAGTGAATTACCTCGGAAGAAACCATACCTATCCTCTGGCAAAAAAATCACCCGCTCCCGGGTCAGTAAAAGCTGTCTCACCTGCCGTCAGCGCAAGGTGAAATGCGACACCGTACGTACCTATATTCTCCTGTATTTTCCTAGTTTAGATTATTTATCCTGCTTCGCATCTGTCTTTTCCTTGCTAAGTAATTGCTAAGTAATCCTGGGTTCTCCAATTGCAGGTTCACCCCATATGCGGAACTTGTGGGAAAACGAAGTCCGCATGCCATTACAGCTCATCATCCCTGACTGACCCCTCCCAGCTGTGGCGCAACACACAAGATGACAGCCATGGAATTAAGCGACGGAGAGAGCTGATAGATCCCGTGAATCTTGGTGGTGTTTCCGCGACTGATGTGCTCTCTCCATTCAGCATTCTAAGGGAGATCCAGCGGGGCCAAGATGCCTTGCGCGAACAATATTCGGATTCGCTGCCGATAGTGGCTAGGTTGGATCAACTTATAGCGGTTGTTGAGCAGTGGGCTCGAACAAATGAGCATCAGTCTCTTGAGGAGCTCAATATATCGAGACAAAATCAAAAACATGATCCATCAAACAACGGCGATGCGGGTCCCATTCTACTGCATGCCTCAGAGTCGTGGAAACCTTCCCCAGACGCCTCGCCCCTATCTGGTCCGTCGTCAAAAGTTCGGCTAGGTCAAACAGCCCAAGCTGAAACTAGTGGGAATGATGACTTCCCTATTCCGAGTGGTTTGGAAACAGATCTCGTAGACCCCGTTGGATCGTTGAACTTGGGACATCTTAGTCTCGAAGACGGAGGAAAATCAAGGTTCGCCCACTCAGAACCTAGGAAGCGCAAAAATTAGTTGTCAGAATACAGCTAACACTTTTTATAGATACGTTGGAACCACCTATTGGGCGTATATTTCGCGAGAGGTAAAATGACATTGTATGTTACTCCATAATCTGTAACTGATTTCTGGCAATTGCAGATAACGGAACCTGATCGGCTTCTTCACCACCAATCACGACCTCACGGGCGATCACCCACTCCTAGCGATGGATATTCGTCAGTCGATGAGGATCAATTCCAGGATCCAACCTTGTCAACCAACAGTCATCGGACGAAGCTATCGCACCGTGCCCGCAATGACTCGTTCCATAGATCAGTCCCGGTTTCCACGGGTGATTCGTCTGCGTCGCAGGATAACTCAATTGAATCATGTATGCTAGAGAATGTCCCTACTAGAGCACAAAGCCGCATCTTATATAAAGGCTTTATGTCTGGGGTGCATGCGATTATCCCCGTGATGCATTCTCCTTCGATTCTCGAGAAATATCATGCGTTCTGGGATTGGTACGAAAATATGGGACAATCCGGGGAACCATGCCCTGACCCATCATTCATCCCCCTCTTATATGCCATCTGGTACGGTGGTTCCGTCACAATATCTCTGCGGATAATCCGCGACGAATTCGACATCGAAAGTCGTGCGGCATTATCAACCCCTTTCCACGATGAAGTGACCCGCTGGCTGCGCAAAATATCATTCCCCAGAAATTCCTCAATACATGGTCTCATGGCATTTCTTCTTGTGCAAACCATCTTATCCAGAGAGGAGGAGCCCCTGGCTAGCAGCCTGTTCATTAGTCTGGCTCTTCGCGTTGCGCAATCTATGGGACTGCACCGTGATCCGGCGCAGGTTGGCATATCGGCCTGCGAAGCTGAGACTCGAAGGCGCGTGTGGTGGCATATCGTCCACATGGATGGAGTTGTGGCCATGTCTAGCGGTCTCCTCCACTCGTCAGTGATGAAAATTACTGGGACGTGCGCGATACAAGCGAGGTGAAAGACACCCTTTTAGGTTCGACTAATGCTGACGAGTATGAGCGCTTGGTTAATGCCAACGAACGGAAACCGGACCGACCGAGCGATCCGACCATATGTGGTGGTGCATTCATGGTTAACGTATATTATCTTTGTGCAAGAGGGAAATATGTGATGGCTCGTTAGTTACTCTCCTCCCTTCTTGAATCACTCCATGCGACATTTGACGTACTAACCCTTCATCTGAAGAGGCGATTTGAAAGATCTTAAAGATACAGCTTGGAACCAAGCCAGTTACCCGAAAGGACATGGAAGTTTTACAGACGATCCTCATTGAACTTCAATCCAAATTGTATACAATAGTTGATAGGATTCCCGTAGTGAAATCAGTGAGGCCTTTAAGTTGCGATGGACACAGCTACCAATCGGCTCCGTCATGCTCCTCGTCATCTGCAGCCATAGGGTCGGTCAAATGTAGTCCATCGAGCGTTGGCCCCAGTTGTTTAGAGCAATATCATTCGCCCGTATTAGTTGCTTTTCACAAGTGGGCTAGAATATCACTTTCTTTATTTGTTGACAAGGTAAGTTAACAGCTATTCTCTTATAGCCATGTCTGATTATTTCACACTGACAACGCGTAGGCATTCTGTGTTGCGTATCAGCCTTTTTTGAAAAATGCCAAAAGCAAGATATGGCCTGTTGCTCGTCAGCGGTACGTAATTACATGTACCTTTGTTCTTTAGCGTCTATAATTTATCCCATGAGAATTACTAACTTAACTCAGTGCTCTTCGCCATTGCCATGGATTTATGGAGAAATTCATTCTTCTGGCCACCGATCCGGATTTCCAACCGTTCCAATGGAGCTGGCCTGGATTAGTTCTAATAACCTTGCTCAGCAGGTATAGCACTCGCTAACGCAAACTCAACTGCAGGAACCATCAACCAATGCACGCCACAATGTAAGTAAATCATCTTCTCTATATAGCAATTTATTTTGTGTGCTGACACAGTTTACAGGATCATGCTGATCGACCTCTACGAACGCCCGCAGACTGTAGAAGCCGCCAAATTCCGTGCCTTTATCGATAAAATATTCTCTCTCTCCGGTCCTGACGGCGGAGTCGTTGGCGGCGAGGACGGTATCTCGACGTCTCGACCTCTTAGAGACGGCGGTCGTGAAGCCTGGGACATGATGCGACGCCTGCGAGAGAAAGCCTGGTTGAAAGCGGGGCTTGATCCGAGCGTGCTATGGACAGAGAAAGCCCAAGCTGAAGCTCAACGCCCAATCACGAAACGTGCATCTGCTCAACTCCCCAGGGAACGTTTGGGATCAACGGTTGAAAGCTTCGCGGATAGCTATTACACCCTTATTAAGGAACCGTATGATTATAATAGCAATACTAATCAATCATCTGAACGGGAACGGGAACGAATACCGGGTGGGAAAGGAAATCGACAGAAAACGGGTTCTCTACACGGGGGTCATCCCTATTCCCAATCCCAACACATCTTCTTCTCCACCGATCAGCACGCGATAGCTACGTTTCTGCCAACACAGCCTCAGTGGCCCTATTCCCCGCCAGCACACCCACAAACGAATGATATCAACAGTCAATCATGGCCATCTTCCTCACCCTTCTCTTCTGCTTGTATCAACGACTCATCTCCATATCAGCTGCCTCCGACTCTCAGCAGCCATACTGCTAGCCCACCCGGCCACCCAAGCACCAACACCACCACCAACAATCCCGCAACCCAGGCCCTGAATTTCCCCCCTTTCACATCACCAGAAGTCGCCCCGGTATCTGACATCCTCATCCCTGTCTCCACGCCATCCGATATCAACCTTGATATCCAACCACATCAACTTCCCAATCCCTCCGCACCTACCTCATCCCTGAGATTTTCTAACCTCATCTCTAGCCCGCCGATAGAACACCACAATCTCCAATTCGACTGGGACCAGTGGGATGCAGTCTTTGGGCCGTCGTTACCCGTTGTCGATGGCTTTACGCATTTTGATACTGTTGATGTAGGCGGGGCGGGAACGGGGGAAAATGTTGGGATTGGTGGTGGTGGTAATAATGAAAATACTACGATGAGGGCAGGGTCACGGGTTTTCATAGATGAGAAAGGTTGACATGGATGAGTCATGGGGATTTTGAAGGAATCAAGCGGATGTGGCATTCTTTCCTGGACGTTGTTGGATTTTAGAGTTTTTCATATGTTAGCTTTTGTACGCAGCTAATGTCAACATGGGAAGTTACTTGTTGATGGGAAAGACATGGCATGTTATATAATTAGATTTGTATGCACATACCATATGTTAACTTTTCTGTGATGTGGTGATTACTTTGTCAGTTGTAAATATTATATTTCCAATCTTCATTTCATTAATCTTATTTAACTACATGGAAAGTTATCTTCACTTGCAATATATTATTTTATTCCAGCTAATGATTACTTGAAGGTATGAATATAACATGCAGATCAGAGATGTTTGGGTGGAGCAAAATAGAACTCACAGCTACAGAAAGAATTTTGCCAGATGAGCTTTCACTTTCTTTATATCTTCCCATTTGAGCTCTACACCTTATTGATGGCTTTTCATGAGCATGGTACAACAAAGAAAAGAGTTAAATATATATAATTAAACTAAGCTCGCTTCGTTTTGTGAGGAGTGTAGTGTGAGCAGGCGGGCATGAAAATGTATGGACAGAAGATGGACAAGGAAAGAACAGTACAGTGCGAACTACTTTAGAAATGAGAAATAAATGTGAATTTGTGTGCAACAGAGGGTGACGATGAAAAAGGACTATCATGAAGATGAAGTGAGAACTACTTGGCATCTTTTACATCCTTGTTCGTTCGGAATTGTAATTAAAGAATACAACATGGCCAGTGGGATCACTTGGTTTAGCACCCATTTAGACCTTCTCTGGGACGAGACCATGCTTCCAGATTGTGGCGTATGGGGTAATACCGTCCTCGCGGAAATCAATGAGAATGTGCCTAAGTGGAATATGATGGTGAGTAGGTATACGGTGACAATAACAAATGAAAAATAAGAGGGAAATGGAAATGAAACTTACATTCCGTTACCATTCATGGATGAACCCATGAGAACATCGTAGTTGTCGTAGTTTTTGAGGATCTTCTTGACGGCGTCTGCAGCGCCAGCCTGGAACTCCTTGATGGTTTCTTCGCTGGCACCGGTATCCTTGAGTGCTTTGTTCACATTCTTGACATATGCTGTGGATTTTCGCGAGAGTGTCGAGTCAGACTCTATTGTACCTCTATACAATATATCATATATAGGGAGGGGAGAGGCGGGGCACTTTTCGAAATGGAAATCGCGTACATTTCAGATGGGCCTTGAATTGATCTTTGCTAGGCTTGGTTTCTTTGCCAGATTCGTCTGGTTTTAGCCAATTCAGCTGGAAGGACTCCTCGATGTCATGGACCATCTCTCCGCCACCTTCTCCGCCGTACTCTTCTTCTCCGCCCTCAGCAGATGGGTTGGCACCCTCCAGTTCTGTAAACACAAGGCTTGGTTAATGAGCAGACACAGTGATGGATGAATAGGTTGGATCTGGTTTGAATAAAAACCATTGAAATGAAACAACATGGAGAGAGACACATATGTATAGTTGGTACACAACTTGACAATCCTTACGGCCAAATGGAAAAAAGCAGCCATTTGACGTAGTAGAGGACATCATCAGGAGGTAAAGTTAACTGACCGAAGTTCTCAGCTCCCTTGACATATTTCTTGCAATCGCACTCCCACAGGACACCACCAGAGACCTCGATGAGCTTCCAGGTGTCAGATATGACCTCATCGCCAGTGATGATATCCTGTTTTTGGAATGTATATATAAGGTCAGCTTTATTGTTGCACCATTACGAGAAAAGTGTTCATTATTCCCTTGCTGTTTCCTTGAAGGCAGCTAAGATAGTCGAGGAGCTGGTGAAACGGAGGATTCTGTAGAGCGGGGTAAAATGGACTGGCTGACCTTGTAGATAATCATGGTGACAGTGTTGATTGCAAGATATTTGAAGGGTTGAAAAGGGGATCAAGGGTAAATCAGGATATGGTAAATGAGAGATATATGATAAATAGCAAGTGAAGAGAAGAATGGGAAGAGATGAGGGTGTGGTCCACAATATGAGAAATTATGTCAACTACAAGGCAAAGAATTTGTTTTGATTAGTTGGGGTTTTTTCATCCAAAAAGACTCTTCCTCCTTTTTTTTCTTTTTTTCTTTTTTTCTTTTTTTCTTTTAATTTTAATTTAATTTTTTTGGGTCTGGTGGGAAAGAAAATCTACACTAGACCAGAAAGAGAACACATCACGTGGTATGAAAGCTCGCTCGTTAAAAAGTTTATCCATCCCCGACATTAAAACACCATCCAAACAGCCTCGACATCCATATATATATATATATATACCTAAACGAACAAAAAGAACAAGGATATGTCAAGAAGGTGTCATTATATGTACCCTGATTGGTTTGTTTGTTTGTTTAATTATTATACTTTGGGCCTGGATAGAACGTGGTGCTTCGATTGATATCCCTGCAGATACCAGTCAACACCGGCGGGGTTGGCACTGACGGATGGATATCTGGACGTCTGCTCCATCTTTGACAAACACAACCACCCCATCGTCCTAGTGGAGAAATGCGCAATGATGTGGATGGGTATTTCTTAAACACCAACTGTATATTTACCTAGCAAATCTTAAAATTTTCTCTCAAATTGGGTGAGAAGAGAAAAAATAAATTAAATAAAAAAAATGTCGAGTTCAAGGACTAAAATTTCCACTTTCCTTTTTCATCTAGGATCATGAATTCCTCGTCTGAGACTCTCAGCTTGAGGATATTCTTACTGCATTCCTTGCTTGGGGAGAATGGGAACAAGTCGAACAAGACCTATTAACCCGTTACAATGATCCCTGGGTGAATCAAGTCCCCAGGCTTCGACGCTCGGTGCGAGAACCTGTTCATATCAGTCTCTGGCCGGAAAAGATCTACTCCCTCTCAGTTGACAATGGGCCTAAAATCCAGGTGCCCAACGTGGTCACGCGGTGGGATTGTGTGTTGATGGAGGAGCTTTTCGACCCAAGGTTGGACCATCCCATCACCAAAACCGCGCTGGAAGCGAGGAGCAATCGCATTCTCCCCGAACGTCTTGCTCAGCGTAACAACACAAGCCCTATATTTATCCCCACTATCCCACAGATGATAGACGCATTGCTGGATCAGGATAGATATCGCCATGATCACGTGCGAGATTCTAATTTCAATATCTTAGCTAGCCAGCCGGCAGAGCATATTATGGGTTTTGTGCGATCTCTCTACCTTGAACATCCAGCCCAGCAGGAAGGTCCTCCCACATCTCACTAGTAATAATCTGTCGAGAATGGAAGCCAGGCTTGCGGGGTTCAAGCGGAGGCCAACTATTATGCTGGATAATCTAAGTGGACTGCCAGAGCCGAGTCCTTTACAATAAACAATCCCCAATAAAAGACGCGTCATGTGTCATTGTCATTGCGGCAGCGTTGTGTATATTTTCTGTATTTCTTGTATTTCATTTATTATTATTATAACAAGCATGCTTCGCTCACTACGCCTAATGTATCACTAATAATATATCAGATAGGATGAATATCAGACAGCTAGTAACTGCAATATCTTAATAAATAAAATATTTAAATATGAATATATAGTGTTATTTTTAGTTAAATTATATTCATATAGCTGTTATGAAGAAGATAATAAAATATTATATTTATTAATTTATTTTTTAAATAAATATAAATTTAAATTACTTTTTTATAATATTTATTTTTAAAATATATCTTTTATTTTCTATATATATAATTAAAAAATAGTTTTAATTATTATTTTCAATTATTATATTTAATATATTATATAATATTTTTTATCAAAAGTTTTTATCATGACTTAATTTTAAATTAAAATAATAATAATAATATAAAGTTTTAAGTTATTTATTTAACTAGTCTATAATGAAAATATTAAATTAAAAATTAAAATATAAAATAATTAAATAATTAAATATAAAAAAATTAAAAATTAAAATAAATGAATTTTTTAAAATAGATTAATTTTAATTTATAATCATATCACTGTGCAACTCATATCTCATGTGAATGTATCACATCAAAATGATAAAAACACTGAAATAATAAAAATTTTAAATCATATTCTCATTATTGCATTTTATATCAATAATTAATGACTAATCTATAATAAAAAGATTATTTATATCATTTTCAGTATATATATCATTTTTAAATCAATTTAATTTCTTTTTTATTAATGATGTAATGAGTTATTATTAATTTTTATGAGATCAACTTCAAGTCTCTATTATTTCTTATTCTGCTCTTTTTCAGCTTTATTATTTTTACATTGTTTGATTTTTCTATTGACATCTTTAATAATGAGAACTTCTTCTATTTGAATCTTATGATGAATTGTTTTAGCTCTGCAGCATTTACTGATGTTGAAAAAGTTCTCTAATTCAGTAATCTATTGCTTATTAAGTTCTGCATTGATTAGACTTGCTTTGAATATCTTGTTTAAACAATATATAAAAATAAATAATTTTAAATCAAGAGTATTTCTAATACTTTGCATGGTGTTTTCTGTAATATTAATATAACATTTCAGCTTTTGAATTGTCTTTGATGAGAATAGCTGAGAGAAAGAGATAAATATATCATTTGAATTATTTTTATCTTCATAAATCTACAGTAAAGAAGATGATAAAATTCACTGCTTAAAAGTGTCAAGAACTTGATTAGAATTCCATGTATATATGCCATATTGAGTCTATTTTGCAGCTATTGTATCAAATTTAAAGATCTGCTTTTGCATATCTGAGAGGTCTTGCGGAAATTGTTATTTTTTATACTTAACAAAATTATGACATGCAGCATAGTTGACTGCTTTTAAATGATAATGCTTATACTACTAAAATGATAAACTATTTAGAGATTGTAGCAAATGAGTGACATGTAATGAAAATTCATATAGAATTATCTTATGAAGATTTGTATATTATATGAACTTCTCAATGATATGAGATTTATGATTATTTATTAAAAGTAATTGATGACTTCTCTTCAGTCTCTTTTCTGTAGCAGTATTGAAATATTTAAGTTATTCAAATTCAATCTCATCTTTTGTAAATTCAATATCTAATATAGCAATTCTATAATTACTAAGTAAATCTGTCTGTGTATATCAATTCTTCAAATGTGTTTTGAAGGCTAAGATTATCAATAGCAGAATGATATAATTATTCATAAATACACATTCAATGACAATAATTAAATCTCTTGAAAAGAATGATGAAATGATGAAATTAGCTTTTTTAAAAACAGTTATAACTCATTCTCTATGTTCTTGTTCTTCTTGAAATTCAATCTCATTAAAGTTATATATTTACAGATGTGAAATTGATACTGCTTAAATAAAATCTGAAAATATGCAAATTATATATTAATATATTCAATATCTTTAACTGTTACTTTCTTTAAATTTATTGACTTCTGTTTCATTCTGTTATATTCATATAGATATTCAATGAATCTATAAATTCACATCTTGCTGACTTTTGAACAAGAGATAGTAGAATCTATGTGCTGATATCTAAGCATTAAATTTGCAAAATCTTCAATATGTTCAGCTATGAGAGAATAATTCTTTTTATCAAGCAGTTTAACTTATTATTTAATTACATTCTTCTGACTCTTATTTAATCTTTTGTTAATTGAAATTTTTATAGTATTCAGATTTCTTTCATTGATATGTACTCAGAGACATTGATAAGAAATCTCAAATTCTCATGACAGAGATAGTATTTTAAAATTTGTGTTTTTTTAATAATAAGTAACAGCTTTTTAAATACAGTCTTCAATATTTTTTCTTTTTATTTGATATTGTGATGAGTTATTAATTGATGAAGATGATAAAGATGATAAAATTGCAAGATTTTTATTATTTTGATATTTTTATCATTTTAATATGATATATTCACACAAGATGTAAGTTGTGCAGCAGCATGATTATTATAAATAACTCTATTACAATATTATTTTTTAATTTAAAAAGTATTTACTTTTAAATAATTAACTATATTAGAAGTTTGAAATGAATAAATAAAAAATCTATTTAATTTATTAGTAAACTAATTATTTTAATTATTATTTATTAAATTTTTATAAATTTTCTTTTATATTTTATTAATACTAAAATTATTATTGAATTTTTATTTAAAAACTATTACTACTACTATTTAAATATAAATAAATATATATTAAATTATTAATTAAATAAACTACTTCAATAAATTATAACTAGAGAATAAACTTTAATAGTATTAATTTATTATTATAGTTTAATAAGTTTTTTATATATTTTCAACTGTATTTATTTCTATTAAATTATCTGAATCTTCTTATTAACTGCTATATAAAATACTTCAATATTTCTTTCTGAAGTTAAACTTGATGATTGTTCATAAAAAGTTTTTCCTATATATATTTCTTCAGTAGATGTCATCTGTAAAATATCAATTTGTAGATTACATTTTGAACTCATTGTTATAAATTTAATGAATTAATATAACTTATTACTAAATAAGTTATATCACTAAACAAGTTGCTCTTAGTAAAATTAACTCAACTTGTTAAAATTTAATTAATTCCATAGCAATAAAATAAATATTACTTAAAATATTAAATAGTAATAAAAATATTATTTAATTTTATATAAAATAAATAATTTAATAAAATAAATAATTTAATAAAATAGATATATATTTAATTGAAGAATATAATAATAATAATAAAAGATCTAATATAAAATTAAAAAATTAATCAAAGAAGTTTTAATTTTTGAATTAGTAGTTGAAGTAGTAATAAGCTACTTTAAGAAATTGAGATTAATCTCATTTTTTAAACTGAAAGATTAAATAAAGTTTAAAGAATTAAAATTCACTGTAGATATTTACTTCTGTTATTATTTCAATATAGTTGTAGTTGAATTAACTGATTTTTACTTTGCAGTGTGAGTATGAATTTGTTCTTGCTTCTTAGCTTCAAGCTGAGTCTTTTTAGCCTCTTTAGTAAGCTGTTGAGCTTTGTGCTACTCTATCATTCTAGTTTTCTCTTTCTTATATATTTTCTAAGCTACTGCTGTTTTAACTACTTGTTATTATGACTCAATCTAAAGGCATAATGATATATAAGACAAAAGCTCAATTTATCTATCTATTAGATAGCTATGATGAGAATACTAAACTGGAAATAAGAATATGAAAATGAACAAGCAGCTGAATATATATAAATAGTTGAGAATTAGAGCAGATCAATCTTAACAACTAAATATGTTTGAGATTGAAATAGATCAACTTTAATTTATATTATTAATGAGAGTGCTATAATTATTATCTTAAACTACAGTAATTTACTTTGTTTTTAGAGCTTTAATTAAAATAATCTACTTAATAGTCTGATCAATATCAATTAAGAAGTTCTTTTTATTACAATTATAGATTTTTAATGATTTAAGATTGTATTTTTTAATTTTCTTATTCTATTATATAATTATATAGTAAAATAATTAATAAAAGTCTATAGAGAAGAATTTAATACAAGAAAATAAGCAAAAAATCAAAAAAAAAAATTAGTTGAAAATAACACTTAAAATAAGTAGAATTATTTGCTATCTTGCATTTTTAATCAATGTTATAGACATGAATTCTTTGAATTGGAGTCTTATAGTACTCAGTAAAATATTTTATTTAATGAATTTTAATAAATTCTTTAATAATTTTCACAATAAGATTTTGAATGATTTGAGATGTAGAAACAAAGCTGTGAGCTGCAAGCTTCACTATATGAAGTAAAAGCATTTGTTCTTGCTAATTTAAGTGTGTTTTTATTATATTTAAAAACTACTTCATCTTGTATAAGTTGCAAATCATTATAATAATGACATAGTATTTTCTTATTAATTCAGTGCTTTCTAGCAGTTGCAGTGTAATTTTTGATCTTTTGAGCTCTTAAATTCTTAATTGCAAGTTGAATAGCTTTTTTATTTGACATCTTGCAGCAGTGGAAGTTGAAGAATTAAATTGCAGTATGTTACACAAATGCAGCTAAATGGCTCATTTAGTGGTAAGTCACGTTACAGTACAGAGCAAGCCAATATACGCGGAATCACGTGAGGTGCAGACACCCGCTACGCCGAGCGCCAGCTGTAGCTAACGTCCGCCTCCGAGGAATCCTTAACCCAGAGGACAGTTAAGACTAGCTGGCAAAAAGGCCCAATCACACAATCCTGGACTCAGGACGAGTGCAATTCCTTAGGGGTCACTTTGATATCCCTAACTGATA